TGTACCTAAGTTCCTGCCTTTCACAGATTTACTGTTTTTTTTTTTTTTTTTCAGGTTGAGAGCAATCGTCAGCCTTACTAATCATTACACTTTACTTGACTATGGCGAAACTGTTTCCCTTTGTTTCTCCTCAAAGGGGGAAAACTAAAAGCCAAAAAAGACTTTGCCAGACAGCAGCTGTATCTCTGCCGGTTCGTGGACCGTAGAGATCGAGACTTTTCACATGCACATAAAAGCAAACATTAAAAAAAGCAATAATTGAATATATTGTGACGTGCGTACTGCAAAAAAGTGAATGACACAAATGCACTTATGCAGTGTACAGAAGGTAGAAAGAGCATTGAAGAACTCACTGGCGAGGGTTGTAGAAAAAAACCCATTTGCTGCTGTTCTGTCAATCTATGCTTTATGACCTCTGCATTGACGTCGACGATATTGTTACATGGTTGTGACTTTAACAAAAGCAGCAGTTGGCACGTCTAAGATGAGACTCTTTGTTTAACCAAACTTTTGGCATGTAAAGTAAATTTCAGGCTACAACAAAACTCACTGCACAATAATAGCAGTGAACACAGCGTTGGCCAACATTAACCGATAGTTGGGACGAGCCGTGTTTTATACACAAGGCATGGAACTTTCTAGCCTTATCGCTGGCAGTTGCACAAGCTTTAGTATAAGCTTGACTGTTCATGTCCTACGGGTAATCTTGACAAAATTATCTACTATAACCACGAAGCTTCTCAAGGCGATCTGCACCAAGCATTACTGACAGTGTCTGTGCATGTTAACTGAACACAGCAAAATTAAAGCAAGAAACACCCGTGGCAGTACGGTAAATAAATTTTGGCCACCTCAGGACAATGGCTTTAAAGAAACCAAAGGGCCATAAATAACCTGGAAACCCAAAAATAAGTTCTCACGGCTCCTGATTATTTGCCTAGACAGCTTGTGAACCGAAGCCATCGACATGGGCTATTTTACCTTGCAGTTTTTATCGCACAAATGCGGCTTAGCTGTTTGTTTTATTTATAAACATTTCTTTTTTGCAAAAAGGGCGGAAAGGCAAAGTTTTACCAATGTGAAAAGTATCACATCAGTCAGGGCCAAACCTCATAAGCGCGAAAATGCACGCGACAGCGACGAGCGACGCTATGAGCGACGAAACAGGGCGTTCGCGCGACGTGTCGCGTGCTCGTTTTCGCGCGATCGCTCGGTTCTCCAGATTTGGAAACCGTCGCGCATCGCCCGGAAGTGCTGGGCTCAAGCAGCCAATAGCGAAATACCGGAAAGGCAAAGACTACATAGGTGCACGTGACCCTGCCCGAGTCACGTATGCGCAACAAGAAATAACGCGATGTTTATTACGCATGTGCATATGAAAAAGTGCTGCAAGGGAATAATAAACACTTTCCATTTCATTACACAACAATATATCTTATTTTTAAATTGCATACTGCTCGCTACGCGGTTTTCTTGGTGCGAGTAGACGGCCTCATGCCAGCAACAGTGGAATTCGCTTGCCGAAGCTGTCGCGTGAATGAGGTTTGCCTGCGCTAGCGACTGATCGCGCGAAGCCGATCTACATCGCGTCGCTTGTCGCTGTCGCGTGCATTTTCGCGCTTATCAGGTTTGGCTTTCAGGGGTCACGAACAAGCAGTATCAGGCGATCGGCCTAGCACCCGCCCTTGGCTACTTTCGTCACTATGTGAAAAGGCCAGGGAGGCTGTCGTCGTCACTTGGCGCAACAGTTCAAGAGTAGCATGTTGAGCCCACACTCACGCTAAAGAGAACTCTTCTTCCCTAGTGTACGAGTGCCTTGATGACAATAAGTGAGCGCACACTCGCATCAAGATGTCTTTATCTTGCTCTTCCAAGCATCCTGATGAAAAATGACCATGCGCTCGATCCAAGGAGATGTCTTCTTCCTTTCGTTGTTTAAGCAACTTGGTGATGCTCACTTATTATCATCAGCGAAAAAAAACAACTAGTGCACATGGTGTAATCCAGGCAAACCCACGTATGAAAACTTTTAAAAAGCTAGAAAGGAAGCGAGCACGAAAACGAGAAAGAGCTTGGTGATCCCTCCATCATAGGAATCAGTAAACACGAAAGTAAAATGTGTCCTTACAGAAGTAGTTTATAGTTAACCGTACATTAACATAAAAGGGCTTGTGCATTGTCTATTCGTGAATGCATTGACCTCGACGCTTAGCGATACATCTACATCCCAACGACTAACGTCCGTCATTAATGAATGAGCAAACCCTTGTGCTTATACATGCTTGAGATAGCAGTACTAGTTAACGGTGAGAGCGTGACTGGGGCTACGTTGTCTACTTGCGGCGTGGAGTTATTGAACCCAGCGCGTCGTGTCTTCTCTTTTAGCCAGCCGTGATTATTCACTGGGCCAGCGTAACGGGGTAATGCGGTGCTAAACCCAGGCAAAACAGGCCCGTTCGAGTAGTTGAAGTTTGGTATAGAACGATGCAATGAGCAATGCCAAAGCTTGGGGAAAGCTCCCCACCTGTGTGAGTTAAGGCGTTGATAAAACTGCACTTCTATTAGAAACGCACCAAATGGGATGGACGTTCAGAAATGACGCGCTTCAAGGAACGAATAGCAGATACAACCGTCACGATGCAATACTGCACTTTACCAAGAACACTATGAGAGGACAGTGGTAGACATAAAAGGCGAACTTTTTCAAGCATACAAAGTATGTGAACATGGCACAGTGAATAGCGTGCCCAGCATCTGTTGTCGTGGACCCAAAGGTCATGGGTTTGGTTCATGTTGACGGAACTTTTTTTCTTTGTCTTCTGATGGTGCGTATTTTTGCAACCTCCTTTCCATCACTGAAATACGTCACTTAAGCCTTGGTTTGCCGTGGCATAATACACTTTTGTGTTAAAGGAAAAACACACATAGGAAGCAAAATAGAAACAGTAGGCAAGATGAAGAAATTGATAAAGAGAGAGGTAAAAATAGATGGAAATAAAGAGAAATAACGACAAAAAATGAAAAAGGAGAAAAACGAAGATGAAGATGAGAAAAAAAAATAGAAAATTGAAGAGAAAGAAAGGAGGCTGTCCAGCTCCGCACTTTCTTCAAGCTTTGCACACACTTCACACTGTGCAGATTCTACATCTGTACGTCCGTCCATACTGGAATAGGTCCACATTTGAAAAAGCGACGTCATATTATGATGTCAAAGAGTTCGGCGACCTGGGCAAATGTCTGTACCTGTTGATTAAGGAATGACAACCCGTGAATACAGCGTTACTCTTCCAGACAGCTGAAATTCCCCTTTTCTATCAAAATTTCCCTCACTTACATAAAATAATTAAAATTATTCACGATTCTTAGTGCCACCAGCATGTCTATTGTTCAAGCACTACTTGTACAGGCAAGTATTTGTATAGCATAATTTTCATCATCATCAGTCTGACTACACCCACTGCAGGACGAAGACCTCTCCCATTATACGACAATCAACCCACTCTTGTGCCTTCTGCTGCCACATTACAGCTGCAAACTACTCTATATCATCTATCCACCTAACTTTCTGTTTCCCCCTTGCATGTGTGCCTTCTCTAGAAATTCAGTCAGTTACCCTCAATGACCATCCGTTATCTTGCTAAAGCTCTATGTACTCCGCCCATGTCCATTTCTTCTTCCCGATTTTCACTAAGACCCCCTAAACCCCCTTTAGTTAACACACTTTAGTTAGCACCCTTTAGTTGCCCTTAACACCCTCTCTTCTTGTTCCTCAAGGTTACACCTATCATTTTCCTTTCTACCACTCACTGTATCATCTTCAATTTGAGCTGAACTCTCTTTGTAAGCCTCCAAGTTTCTACTCCGCGGGTAAGTACCGGTAAGATGCGGGTGTTATAACCTTATCTCTTGAAGGATAGTGGTAAACTAGCATTCAAGATTTGAAAACGCTTTCCGAACGTGCTCCACCTCCCCCTTATTTTTCGGGTTACTTCATTCCCATGGCTCAGCTCCAGAGTTACTACCTGTCCTAAGTAGATGTATTTTTTTACAACTTCCAGTGTCTCGCCACCTATCATAAAGCACTGTTTTCTGCTGAGACTGTTGCACATTACTGTAGTTTTATGCATACTAATCTTCAGACCTACTCTACTGCTTTCCCAGTTCAGTAATCATGAGCTGAAATTCATCTGCAGAATTACTCATCAAGGCAATGTCATCACCAAATTGCTGGTCACTAAGATGTTGGCATCGTTATGCAACTGCAAACCGGTTATATAAAAAACATATGCGATTGTTCAACGTATGTCTGGGCATTAAACATTTATACATATCTCAAGGATCATTTCGTAACGTTTTGCCTAATAACAAAATTACAATGCAGTCACCTTCCCAGTGTATGCTTCGCATAACATCGATAGACAAGGTATGTAGGATCTGCCAATTTACTATTATTTTTTTAATAAGTATGTTCATAAGCTATACGGGCATAAATTGGTTAAAGTCTTTTTTTTTTCCTATGAGGAAACTCTTGCAATCAACATGTATTATTATATACCATGAAGCAAACTCTGCCCTTTATTCAACAAAACACCCTGGGAGCATGGTCTCCCAGTACATCAGGGCAGAAAGCAACACGAGCCCTCCTGCAGTACTTGAAGGCAACGTCACCGAGCGATCGCCTGTGAAACACTGCGCTGTGTGTGTGGTGTTCAATGCGCCTCTGCTCGCTCTTTTTTACTCCCCTATTCCCCTCCCCATGTGCAGGGCAGCAAACTGTACATAGTCGAGGTAACCCTCTACCTTTCCAATACCTCACTCCTTCTCTCTCTCTCAGAATCATTGGAGATATTTTAGTCAATGTGGAGGTAGAGTTTTCGTTGGAATCTTGGTGCCGAATATCCTTCAAAAATGACCCATTTATGAGATATGAGAAAAGATTTTCACGTGGCAAAGCTAACTGACATTTTACAAACTATTCCTACCCACCACCAGCCTCTTACCTTCTTGACTTTGTCCTGGTCTTTGCTGAAGTAAATTTTTGTAATTACGGTCCATTAGCTGTGAGTTACGGATCCCTGGCATAAACAGTGAAGGTGAAGTTAGTAAATAAGCGCATCATACATTCGCTATTTGGTCAGACAATGAAACTGAAAGAATATACAGTAAAAAGTCCTTAAGTTGCCCGTCGTCGTTTCGGAAGATCAGATAATACAACATGTTTTCTGGTCTTGGAAAATCTATGTATTGTTTAATAGTATCAAACTCTAATTAATACACTCCTATTTAGCTGTAGCCTGATTAATTCAGTCAATACTCAGAGCACCTGAAACACAATGTGTCAGTGTGTTCGACTCCGAGGAAAACAAAATGGTGTTCACAAGCAACTCAAATGGCCGTGGGTCTTCCTCAAAGCGTAGTTGCCATCCACCGATCTAGCTATAATCGCGTTGTTTATTACCAAGACTTCTACGACTTAGGCACATTTGCTTCTTCGATTTTACTGGATGCATGTGAACTGCCTGGGAGCTACCATGATTGCATCGATAGCGACTGCTGCGACTGCGGGTAAAAGCTGCGACAACCAGTAGTTTCATTTTTGCCACATCCCTTCAGACATCCATTCTGCAATAGCGAGGCAGGTTTATTCAGCAGCCTATGCTGTGCTCAGCGATTCTGCATCTACTGTGGTCGTAGGTCATGCGCGCACCTTCAGAACTGCGTGGGCGCTATGATCTTGTGTTAATATAGCGACCCCGCTTTCACCCACAGCGGATGCAACATGCGGCAACTTCCTTTTGACATTGAACAATGCGCACACATTGTCCCGGAACTTGAACACAGTGGAAACTGTAGAAGGTGAAAAGATTCAGTCACAGTCCGCATGCTGGCCCTAAATTCAGTCGCGACATCACGATGAACTATCATTTGCTAATCATTTTTCAGGCAAAGAAACTATAGTCACAGTGCACGTAAAGGTGGTGGTGGTACGTAATAAATGAGGAGGGTAGAGCACATTTAGTGTTAAGACATGGCTGTTTTGAGTTGCACTCACATTGTGATCGAAGTCGCACATGGAATTTGCGCCACTAATCGCAAATATGTACCACGAATTCGTGTATTCACCAAGAAAATGCACATTAATGTGATACAGACTTATTTATTGCTTTTTTTTAATACTTTCGATAAATAAATACTCATGATGCTTAGGACTCTGGCAACACTGGGCATGTTTTTGTAGGGTACAGCCGTGGGATCGTCTGCTGACATGTCTGCTGGCGTCTTGATAAGAAGCCATGGAGAAGGTGAGCTACTGACATTGGCGGAGGTTTCAGACTGAGAAAATAGAGCTTTTTTTTCATCATCCAATGCCCAACAGTCAGTGAACTTCACTGTGCTGTCACAAATTGACAAGAAAGCAATATTGGAGCTCTGCGCGTTTCAAAACTCATCCGAACGGCATCTGCACGAGGCACATCGCTTTGCAAAGTCGCACTGCTGTTCTCTAGTGATGTGGGTGCACTTACAATATGAGGTAGGCATTGAAGAAAAAGTGTTCATTGCAGAGGAGGGAGATGAGACTCAAATTTCTACCGTGGCTTGTGCAGCAACACATCTCTGTTGCATTTCCCACTACGGTTCTAACAATACCTGTAAGACATCCAAACCACATTCCTTCCACGCGACCTGCGCAATGATGTGCCATGGTCATCAGCTCTTTTGTTTATCTACAGGTATGTCTGCACCATTCATAATAGCGTGTCATAGTCTTTCGAAATAAATGAGGCATGGACAAGTGCATGAGCGGTGTGCCGCAAACCCAACAAAAATACTGCTCGCGTGTTTTCACTGCATACAGAGCAAACGTTCAGCGCAAATGTTTTGAAAACGCAGGAGCAAATTTTTTCAATACCCACTATTAGTTTGAAAAGCTTTGTGATTGTAATGTATAGCGTAGATTCAGTGTAGTACTAGTTTTCTTAAATGCTATAAGTGTGCATTCATTGACTTATCTATTTAGTACATTGTGCTCTTTACTCTCGCATGCCACGGAGACATGCATTTTAACATGCTGTGCAGTATTGCGAACCGCATACAAAGTGCCAGGGATCAGCGGAAAGATGAGTACGGTGATCCACCTATAGTGACTGTATATGCTACTTTGAGGTATGAGCCATATGCAGTAATCTAGATCTAACAAACAATTAACTACATTTATAGTATGGCTCCACTACTGAGCACTCCGTGCTCACAGTGCATGCTAACCAAAGGAAGCAAAATAAATGTAAATGTGAAGGGATAAGGGGCGTTGAAGTGTTGACACCTGAGGTTCCCAGCATCCCATTGTCGCTACTGGTTTTTGGGACAGCCCATTGCCATCTTCAAAGAATTGGGAGGAAAATGATGAGGCAGCATGAAAAGACTGAAGGGAAACTAATTCCAGTAGTGTTTGCATGGCACTTCCCTTACATGACGAACATTTCGTGATAAGAGGCGGAGATTTCGCTACATCACGACAATCTCGCGTCCAAGGAACCTGCAGGGGCCGAGTTTGTTTTCCCCACATCCGTGACAGAGGAACGGCTCCTCCGATCATATATTGTGCTCTCCTATCACTAGACACACATCACTTCCGAGGGTGACACCCGACCCCGCCAAATAAACGTGCTCAATTGAGGTGTTGCCACTCCACTCAGCACCTAAGAAAAACACCAAGGTGGTCTCTTCTTGACATGCAAAGGTGGCAGGACGATCTGTTACACGCTTAGGCAACTGGGCGCATCAAAAGGTCTGCCCTTCAATTAGTGGGACAGCTTGTCACTAGTGCCGATGCCGCTGTCTCTTCAAAAAGTGTGTCACATCCAAATACCATTCTGGTCATCACGTAGAACACCTTTTGACATCTGACAGCCGGTTGCCTCACTTCCACAGTCAGGAGGACGATGCAGTTGTTGGGACGGCTGTAAACAGGCTAGCAGCCCTTTGATGACTTCTTCTAAGAGAACACCGCCTTTTCCTCAACGCAAGTGCAGATCAGAGAATGGCAGATGCGGCATGCGAACTTAGTATTTTAGCGCACGATGCCTTGCTGTGCTTGCAAAGCTGCGTAAATCTTTGCGATTAGTTCTCGTGTAGCGACATTGTTTTCCCTACAAACACGTGCAGCAACATCTGAACACTACTTATACACATGTATTTAAGGAAGCCCTTGCTTTCGTCAATCTGCCACACCGACAAGCTAATGTTGATCAATCATGCATTCACGCATGCATGCAATGTAGGCCATCTCTTTTAAATTGCATACATCATAATTATATTGCTCAGTAGGCCTAGCTATGTTGCAGGCGGGCAATTAATTGGTGTGGAGAAATAAAAATCGAGGTTTTAGAAGGTTTTTAGGCACGCCCGTCATTTTTGAACCTAAGCCCAGTGCCAATATTGTTGTGAAAAATTAGCGGCACTGTCCGGGCTCCCTTGTTGTCTGAACAGCACAGGAAGCATTGGGAAGTCATTGCAGAACGAAGATAGAGAATCAGCAACTAAAGCACCGTAAAAGCTGCAATGTGCAACCGGAGTCGTTTTTGTGCCAAACAAAACACGGAAGATCAAGATTACAGATTCGTCTACAGGTGGCGCTGTAAATTTGTAATACGCATTCCCTATTCAGCTTTAAATTAGGTCTTTTCTTCCAGTCCCGTAAAATTTAAATTAAAGAGATTTCACTCCGTTGAAATCTGAATTACTGAGCTTTCACTGTGGAGTGAACTTAATTCTCCATAAAATTCCGCTCTAGCCGGAATATTTTATTGTGAAAATCTATCAGACATCCCGTATAAGACATATACAAAGGACATTTCTATTGAAAGATTGTTAACATCCGTGCTTTCTCCCTAAGGCTATGCTTTACAAACCTGCGCATTCGGATCTAACGCGAGTATCTTAGAGATCACCTTGGATGTGAATGCCGCTCCACTCGAATCATACAAAACATCCAGAGGGAACAGCCAGATGTGAAGAAGACTCAGTGACGTTAAGTGGGCATGAGTGGTAATGATCAAAGATGGGACCTAGCAGGCGTGCAAACACAAGTGTCTAAATGGGAGCATACTGCAACATGAATGTTAGGGGCCACCTGTAAGGGAGAACAGAGCAGAAATTTTGGCAAGTTCAATCATGAGTATGCTTATTTCAAAGGTGTAAGTCACAAGGGATGTGAAGAGACACGAGTATGAATGTAACTTACGAGTGTAGTAGTAGTCGTGAGCAAGAATGAGGGTACTCATAGGAGTGAGCAGATGAGAGTGAACTTGAGTACAAATGGCTGTGAGTTTGTGTTATAAGCATGAGTGGGTGCCAGGTGACGCGAGATGGTGCGAGTGTGAGCCCTAGCAGATGTGAGTGAGTACTCATCAACATAGCTGGGTGTGATCATATGAGCTGAAGGCGAGTGAGTACCAATAGATATGAGCAAATATGAGTATTGATGTGAGAGAGTGCCCATAAGTGTGAGTAAACTTGAGTATGAACGCGAGTACTTATGAGCGTGAGTGGGCATGATTATGAACGGGAGTGAGTACCTGTTAATGTGAGCAGGTGTGAGTTACCGCCAAAAGAAAGACTAGAAAGAAGCAGAGTCGTCAATTGCAACATGTCTTTATCCACGGATTCAATGCTTTACCTATCATGCATGGGTCTCTGTGGGATGCAGCACAATAGCTTCTGCATCCATACATTTTACAATGCATTTAAATGCTTCCATTTCGCATGCATTTTAATGATAACAGGTGCAAAAGGTTTATAATTGGTTGCAACCTGAGAAATTCCAGTTCCGTCCACTGCCATCACTGTCGCTCACACTAGAAATGGGCACATGTGTGCTTAGAAAAAGTTGTTAATGATTTAAAGTAGTTGGTACTCTACTATGGGAGAGCAACAAGCTGTCCTGTGGGTTCACATTTCACGAGGCTTGAACGACTGACGCAAGTGTGGTTCCTATATCACTTGCCCATTTTCGTGACATTAGAAACTTCAGTGTTTCATAGCAGACTTCACCCTAAAGACACACATTTGTGTGACTAGTTTTATGTAGAAAACATAAAACATCCTGGCCAATTTCCGCAAGAAATCTCATGTCACTGCTCAGCTAAATGTAATGTTTATGGCAGTTATCATCATCATCATAAGCCTCACTACGTTCACTGCAGGACAAAGACCTCTCCCACGTTCCGCCATTCAACTGGCCGAACGTGGGAGAGGTCATGGACCGGGCATGTTCCCATGCCCGGCCCATGTCCATTTTCTCTTCTTGATTTCAACTATGATATCCTTAACCCCGGTTTGTTTCCTAATCAACTCTGCTCTCTTCTTGTCTCTTAAGGTTACACCTACCATTTTCCTTTCTATTGCTCACTGCGTCGTCCTCAATTTAGGCTGAACCCTCTTCGTAAGTCTCCAGGTTTTTGCTTCGTGGCTAAGTACCGGCAAGATGCAGCTGTTATATACCTTCCCCTTGAGATTGCCACTTCCCCTTGAGGGATAGCGGCAATCTACTTGTCACGATTTGAGAGTGCTTGCCAAATATGCTCCACCCCACTTCTTATTCATCTAGTTACTTCAGTCTCGTGGTTCGGCTCCGCGGTTATTACCTGTCCTAAGTAGACAGTCTTTTACAACTTCAAGTGCACTATTACCTATCTCGAAGCACTGTTCTCGTCCGAGGTTGTTGTACATTACTTTCGTTTTCTGCAGAATACTTTTAAAACCTACTTCTCTGCTCTCCTTGTCTAACACCGTAACCATAATATGCAGTTCATCCCCTGAGTTACTTAGAAATGCAATGTCATAGGCGAAGCGCAGGTTTATGGTAGTATGTATCGACAAACCTTTAACTCTTCATAAACAAGCCAATTTCATTAGCAGAAAAAAAGTACATACAATTCAAGTGGAAACCAGCAAGCATGACTGTCCTTCATGGCTGAAAGGCAGGTGCGTTGTGATTTCGTGGGCAGTGTTCACATTCTTTCTTTTGTTGTAACCTATATTCGGCGACAACTTTCGGTGGCAGCACAGCCACAACTACGAAGCGCAAGCACGCCCTTTTTATTACCGTATTTTTGCGCCTATAACCTACCCCTGCATATAATCCGCACCCCCACTTCCGGCTCACCGAGAAAGAAAAAAAAATCCTCGCGTATTGCCCGCACATTTGATATACAGGAAAGGCTGTACAAAAGCTACTGCTCAAGCAACATAGCACATATGTAGACAGAAAAAGCTTTATTTAGCTAGCAGAATACGCTGTCTGCAAGGCCAGTCACAATTCACTCACTGTCGCTGCTCTCGCTAGAGCTATCACATGAGCCGCAGTCCTCACTATTATGCACAAGGTCATCTTCGGTTCCATCCATGTTGTTTGTGATACAGCATTTCTTGAAACTTTTTCGCACCATCTCACCTGAAATGGCCTTCCATGCCTCGACAATCCACTTGCAGAATAGGGCAATATCAGGCCTTCGGACTCGTCTTGTCGGCGTCAAGTCGTAGCAGCCTTCGGCCATCCGCTCGGCGTAATAGCGCTTGAAATGCGCTTTGAAGGGCTTGTTAAGCGATACATCTAGAGGCTGCAACATTAACGTCTTTCCACCAGGTATAACAACTAAGTCGGTGCCGTTGCGTGAAAGGCGGTCCTTTACTTCCTCAGTTGTCTGGCCGTGGAACGAGTGAAGAACGAGCATGGACCTCTTTGCGAGCATCACACCGGGCCTCTTCTCCCATACCGTCTTGATCCAGTCTACGAACAAGTCACTGTTCATCCACCCCTTCTCGTGTGCGCGCTCCACCACACCGGCAGGCAAATGAACCTTTGGTAGAGTTTTCCTTTGCAAGATCACATACAGGTGCAAGATGACGTACAGGTACAGATGATGCGAGGTGCCCTCGCAGTTGCGTGCCGTCGCCGGGGGCACAAAGCAAGACTGTATGCGCAGTTTTGTGTTCCCGCCGGTCAGCACCCTCACCGAACTGCTGCCCGTCTTCTCAATCAATGTGTCAAATAAACAGGAGTTTCATTCGCATTGCCGATTTGCTAGAAAATGTAATTGTGCTGCTTTCGCAGGCCAATTACATATCTCTGGTACTTGAGCAGCTTCTCCTCATAAGAAGCCGGCAAGCGTTGACATATTGTAGTCTGCCGACTGATTGAGAGCCCTTGCCGCTTTATAAAGCGGTGCAGCCATCCGCGGCTCGCACGGAACTCGTGAGGTAGGCCTAGCTCCCTCGAAAGTCGCCGCGCTTCCACTTGGGCCATCTCGGTCGATACGGCGTGACCCTTGCTTCTCACATCTTCGATGAACTTTACTAGCTCCGCCTCCAGCTCAGGGTAGGCACCGGTCTTGGGACCACGAAATGACCTACGGTCGCGGTGCGCGGCTTGTAGGCTCTCTTTCTTCTTTCTCCACAGTCGCATGCAGGACTCGTCCACATCGTGCCGTCTTCCCGCTTCGCGATTTCCAAATTCCTCGGCGACGGCGATGATCTTAAGCTTTCGCTGTGTCCGTGAAGGCCTGCCGCCGTACGCTACTCATGGTGACAAAACAGATCGACTTAGGCTTGGCGAACGGGCCGAGATGTGGAGAACTAGCGGTATCAGCGAGGTAAAGAGCGCTCACACTCGGCAACAACTTGACAGCACTACCCCTTCTAGTATACTGTAACAGCACTCTGGAAACAACAGAACCGAAATGCATGCCTGCTACAACGTTAAAAAGTAGTACATTAATTTACTGATATCTCTAGAGGCACTATAACATCTCATTTGCCTTGCTGAAATAAATACTGCTTTATTTATTATGGAACTTTCTTAGACAGCACCACCTTTTTGGCAAGCCCTTTCCAAAAGTAAACATGGCGTCCGTGACGTAAGGACATGTCGAGGGTCACTGAGCAGCCACGAACGTCCAAAAAATACTTGTGGTGTGACAGTGAGATTTTACACTGAACAATCGAATTGTCTCTCCCCAAATGTTTTTCTAAATGTTTCAACGATGCAAGCATGCGAAACCAAAATCAGCCGCAAGCAGCCGTGCTACTTGCGGAGCAACACGAATTTGCGGAAACCGCCTCTGTAGCCTTCGCTACACTGTTAAGGGGCTTCACAGCACAACACGCATTGCTGTGAAGCAGCACTATAGGAAAAACCCCGCGTATTATTCGCACCTCCACTTTGCCACTGAAATTTTTGGGTTTTTGGTGCGGGTTATACACCCGAAAATACGGTATGCTTCTGCATGTTGTGCACGAGCACTAACTTTTATATGCCGTGTTGCATAAAGGAAAATACAAAATGAAAAGATATAAATATTATGTTCAAGATTGTTCGCATTGTTACTAAGAAGCTTACACCGTGTAGAATTTTTGTTCTTTGCCGTTTCTGGTTTTCTGATTTTCCAGGTGTTGTTTCATCTTTTTCCTGCCCCGGTAAACAACGATCGCGTCGCTTGATTGCAGAAACTTGACATCGAAGCTTGTGAGCATACATGAGTGCGTGTTCATTAGGTGAGCGATATTCATCGAGCAGGGAGAAATGAAGGCAGTGGTGCACCGTAAAAAATTTTTTTTCACGCACATGCAATCACCGAGAAGTTGTGAGAGAGCGATACCATCAGCGAAAGTGGGACTCTAATTGTTATAGCCACCTTGAAAGTGACACCGGCCACCTGTCAAACTTCAGCAACACCAGCTGCTTCAAAGCAAATGTGTGATTGGGAACTTTACTTAAAAGCAATGACCTTTTTCCTAAATTGCGTAGCATACGTGGTCTGTAATTCGGCTGCCAGATACGATCACACTGAGGATCGCATGCTGTAACATTGTGCTCGTCGGGGTCTACAGAGGGAGTGGTTCATTGCGCTTTGCGATGACAGCAATTTACGAGAATAAAATTGCCAGTGCAAAGTCTCGCCTGAGCAATAGGTGCGTTCCTGAGTATTATGCTGTTGACTTCGCAAAAATAGCGTTTTTGGATGAGTAAAGATTGCGTTTCACCAACTTGGATTTAAGAACGTCGGACGCCTCCTCGTGACCGGTCCTTAGGTCTAGATAAAACAAGTTACATTAAATTACATCTATGGACCTTTGACAGATTGTGGCCATGATTGCTACAACCCGTTGCCTTCACGTCCCATAAAAAAGCAACAACAAAACGTTAGGATCTCCAGAAAGTTCCTGAGTCTCCAAAAGAAGGAAAACAATGATGCCAACACAGTATGCACTAAAATGTACGTAGTAATGTTTTCGTGCCTTTGCACTGTTTTTTCAATTAGCCCAGTTCCTGCTCGGACGTGCCTTTGTTTTCTGCAATCAATCTGAACTCTTCAATAAAGCTTCTCGTTCTTTTACTCAAAAAAATATCATTTTATTGATTTCCTCCCAAAAAATGTAACACTTATTGATTAGTGCTAGTGCAAAAATGAACACGCTGGATGCGCTTGCATAGCCGAAATCGCACGCAAACGGACCACTTGGCGTAGTAACACATGTGCAGAAGCTCCGCCCACGTAGCTTTGGCTGTGCTGCCACAGAAAGTTCTCGCAGAGTATAATATAGTCACGTGAACCCACTCACGTTAAAAATTAAAATGAGCACAGGTCATTATTGACCAAAACCTCCAGAATGGTTTACCAACCTCAGCTGAAGCGAACTGCCATGCTAATGTCAATTGTAGTTGCACCTGAGATGTGTGATGCTAACTGATATTGGTAGCCAACTGTCATTTGGCTAAAGGCAGCTGAGTGTGCCCGGGTTGATTCGTTAAAAGAAGCACTCACAGGAGTAGAGGTGATCTTCGTCTCGCGGACCCGGAATCCTGAATGTGGGAAACCGTTCTCCCGTCTTGAAGTTGAAGTGGGACGTGTTGAAGCGCAGCGTGTAACTGAGGTTCACCGGTGGTGATCCATCTGGCGGAAGGCCGTGCAAGATGACGGCCACCGACGTTCCGTCGGGTGACTCAAAGGCATAACGTGCAATGAATGCCTCAAGCTCTTCCTCGGTAGGGAACCCTATGACATCTGAAAAAAATAAATAAAAATAAAAAATTCAAAACAACAACCCAAGGATTGTTCTAAACAAATTCAAGTATGACTTCAATAAAGTTTGCCAACTTTTCATGTTTTTTTTTTTGTAGTCATCTTGGCAGCAGTACTTTATGCTTCTTCGGCATTACATCATACAGCCTCCTTTACACAAAACTATAACACATCTTAACTGTTTTTCCATTTTATGTGGCAGATGGGACTTCATAGTTTTGAAGTGGCCCCGCTGCAAAGCTCTTAACCAAATGAGCCTGTTCTTTATGTCTTTAATATTTGCTTATCACAGCTAGCATTGATTAGACATAACGAATGGGGTCAAGAAGAAACAGAAACAGACCAGAGCAGCCAAAGAACGCACTATGCAAATATGCTGATGGTATGGCAAGGTACTTGTTATTAGAACACATTAAAACCTATAAATATAAAAAAATATCTACCTGAACTGTGCTACTGTTATCACACAGAATTCATGAATTCATGTTCAAGTTTGTAAGTTGTGTTAACTCTTGTAGAAAAGGGTGTGTGAGGCAACATACATTAAAAGAAGTCTATGACCGAAAGGCAAAAGCCTAAACTGGCCAAACAAAATGTTATATGCATCAAGTATTAAGTATTTTGGCAAGGAGACGTGATCAATACAAGCCCACTGATCAGTGATAGTATCAGGGGTTTTACATCCCCAAGCCACCATATGATCATGAGATGCCGTAGTGGAGGGCTCTAGATATCTTAACCATCTGGTGTTGTTTATCATGCATTGACATCGTACAGTAGGGCTCTATCATTTCACCACTACCACAAAGCGACGGCCGCGGCCAGGATCATACCCGCAACCACCGGGTCAGCAGCCGAAAGTCCTCTCATCAATACATCAGCCCCACAGTCATACGAAGTACGACTAGCAGAAATCTTGTCTTAAAAGTTAGACTATTGAGGGATAATGTGCATTGTTGCAGGCAGTTTATCAATTCAAGGGCATTTTCAATCTGGCCATATGGTACACTGCAACAACAGGCACGTAAAAAAAAAAAAAAAAATGTGCGGAACAGTATGAACTTCATTACTACATTCCACATGAAATGCCTTTTTCATAGACACTTAAACCTCGATATAATGAACCCTGATATGACGAATTATCGGTTAGAACTAAGTGAAGAATAGCCTTGTCATACATACAGTGTAAAGAACAGTATAATGGTCATAACAAATTTAATGATATAAGGAAGTATTTTAGAGGTAGATGTGACTGTTAAAATGAGGTTTGAGTGTACAGTTGAAACATTTACAGGGCACATGCACCGGGCAGCAACTCTTGTCTCTCATATGAGGTGTCCCTTATAAGCAGGGTATAACATATGCATTTTCTCATCAACACTTATTTGAATGTAAGCACGCTGGTATCTCTTATATAGACTTGTCTGTTACATCAGTGTCTTATAAAAAGGTTTGCCTGTATTGATTATTAAACTCGTATTGGTTGCGATTATAACCTCGTATTGGTTGCATGCTAAACTCGGCAAGAAACGTACCATAGTTTCTTTCTTATGCAGTTTAACCTAGACGCAGTGAATATGGAGAGATCTGAACCTCTTTCTAAAGACACAGATGTAAGAGACAAATGGGTATAAAGGGCACCATTGTGCCTGCATTAAAAAATTTGTTAGAACATGAAGACATTACATTCTGCTTATAACAGACGCCTCCTATAATGATCCATGATACATGTCTCTTATAGAGGGGTTCAACTATGTAACAAATTACTGGTTGTAATTAGGGCTCCATGTTTGGGGAGTTCACTTTTTTTTATTTAGAGGGTGTTTTTCAGAGTTTAGTTTCTCTAGAAAATCCAATGTTTATTGCAGTTTACTTTTTTTCGTAACTCTTGAATTCTCCTAAATTCGATATTCAATCTTGCATTAAAAGTATTTGCTAGGTGCTCTTAATACTTTCATTTCCAATGAATGCGCTCTTCTCTTCATTTTAACAAATAATCATGCTTCTCCATTCTCTCGTTTCTTCTCACTTTGTGTTCATTTAACCTGCTAAAAAAGCTGTTGATTTGCATTGCTGTACACTTGCCAAAGTGTACCTTATTTTTTTCGCTGGGTGGGGGGAGGGGGGCCTGAAGCTAGCCAAGCTCCAGTCCCCCTGGAGCTTCTTGGTGAAAAATAAAGGATTTGTTTTTATTATTATTCTCATTACTCTGAAATCTCCAGACGAAATGATACCTGAACACGAAAAGATGCCAACGCACTAAGTGTGTTCGAGATGCCGAGAAGGCTTGAACGCACAAACACATATACATAAAAGCACAAATACTTGAATAAAAAATGCCTACACTAGTAGTTCATATCACAACCTTAAAGCTTGTGGTAATGAACGCAAGCATACATTACGAAGTTGCTGCCGCTAATGCAGGTGCAATTTTTTCGACTGATGAATCTCGGCTTTGAAAACGCCCTTTGAATGTTGAACGTGCCCGTTTAAGATTGGAGTTTATTCGGTTAAATACGAATTGTCAGAAATTTCACCAGCGAGTCATTGATTTTTTTTCATATTTGATCGCGAGCATGCGCCCTGGTTTTAATGAAGGAAAAAAAATGAAAGATCTGCCATCGAAGGTGTTGTGAATACACGTTTGTCACAAATTTTTACATTTAATGGAGATGTCTTGTTGAGGAATTTGTAATGCAAGTTTTGAATGTTGGCTTATTTATTTATATTCACGATAAGCATGATCGTACACCAGCCCTGTATAATACATCATTTTCTTACGTGGTGAGCATGCTAAGACATTAGCGGCACTCAAATGCCTTTACAATATGAAAAAAAAAAGGAAACGTCTAGATGAATACCTGTCCTATAGGCAGCCACATAACGTACTACGGGGCAGTTTCTAGGCCTACAACTCATCACCCAGTCACTGCCCCCAACAGGTGCTTTTCATAAATACGATACTGCACACGGTTTCGTCATCATGGGCAGTTCCTACTGAAATAGCCATGCACTCTCTTTTGAACGATAACTTAATTAGCGATATACAATATTAGCAGTCTGTCAATGGTTTTTATTTTTATTTTCAGTATATGTCAAACATTTTAACACTCTCCTACATATTTATTTATTTTTTTACTGGGAGACTGAGCTTGACAAGCAGCGTTGTTGAGCTATTTCACAATTACTTTCTTCCTGTACAGACTCAGTTGAAAGCCTTCATTCCCGACACGGCAATAATGGCTGTCAATCGATCATTAGACTTTGACAAATGTTACTCTAAATCTGCTGAATTGTTTACCACCTTCAAAAACAATTTTTCTTGTGCTACAGAGGACTGCGCTGAATGATAGGCCATCATCTCGCTACAAACCTGTAACGATGCATCTTTAAAATAGTTGTTGACAACACAAGCAGCCTACCACAAAGAGAGCAAGGCATAAAAAAAACTGAGTGCACTGCTCATTGGAAAAATGTCCTGCAAGTTGCAAGGAAGCTGTCTGGACACATACACAGAGAGAAAAATGTTAGACAAAGTGTGCTGCATCATAGACATTGATGAATGCCAGTCTAAATTTGTTGAAAGGAGACTAAAGCAAATAACAATTAGTGTTAGAGTGAAAGATCAATGTTTGGGAATGCCTAAAATAGCATTATTAACAACAGCAGTGCTCTACAAATCGAGGAATTTCGGTCAATGCACGACACCACATGCTCTGTGAGTGGGACATTTCTGAAATGATCCCAATGACATCAAAGCCTCTACCTACAATTAATTAGTGATAATCAAACCAGCTGCACCAAAAAAAAAAGAGCCTTCTGTGCATTACAATACAGTGAAAAAATTCCACTTGTCCACTTCTGTTTGATTCATAAAAAAAAAATAACCACCATGGCGTTACTGTAGAGAATGGCGCGAGTGGTTCAAAAGTTCTCTTTTCGCCTGGTTAGGTGGTGCCATGTAGCGGGACCCAGTTGAACCAGGCAAGCAGAAAATTGTTCAATCGCCCTTGTTGCTGCTGCAGTTCCCACTATCACTCAGCTGCTGCTAGTGTTGGCGACCATGCAGTAAAGGCAGGAGACGGGCAGGGCCCGTGCTACACAGGAGGTCCACTCTCAGGCAGGTGAGTTGCCGTGAGGACCACTAAAACATGATTTTATTTTAAAACAAGCATTTCTTTGGCTCGACAGTGCCCCAATCGACTTAATAATTACTTTTAGTGTCCTTTTTAAACAGTTAAGCACGCACAAAAAGTGCATTGCTTTTAGCTTTAGGGGACTCTGATAAAAGACATCATACAGATTTTTCGCTGGAAATCATAACACATTTTCGAATGCAAATGCTGATGACGCATGCGCTCTTCACAAACAGGGCAGACACATAAAAAGGAGGAGCTCGCTACGTATCAGCAGAATGTCACGCAAGTTACGCGGCAGCCGTCAGAACACATATGCCGAGACGAAAATGCTCGATTTAAAATGTGCTAGTACGTAAAGGTCTGGGCCTGCTGGCGAGCCCACAGCTGTGTGCGCAAGCATTCCTGCACTGGATCGTGACTGCCATATCCCGCATATTTATGAGACCTTTATTTCTCATTTCATTTCAGACACAGCAGTCTGGGCACACTGGTAATCCATTACTCCGTAAGATGAAAGTTCAAGGAAAATGTGAATGAAAAAGAAGCGATCCTTAGAAGTGTTTATCACCGTTAAAAGACAATTTTGACGTAGTGCCTTCATCTGTCTTAAAGGGACAATTAAAAAGGACAACAATCCTTTTTTCAAAATTGCTTATTATTCTTTCACAGTACTGAAATTACCAAGCTTTCCGCAAGAGGATGCTTGGTAAATGGGATAGCATGCAAAAGAAAAATATGGACGGCGAAGTGACTTCAATATTCCCACACCAATCGCCATGACGTAGATTATAAAGGCGTCTATCACCGCCCAAGTAGTTCCTAATGAGTAAAAATGAAGCGGAC